CTTGGTGAACGGGCAGGGGCACTTCGATTGCAGCGACAATGTCCTCTACTCGTGTGACGGCGGGACCTGCATGGAGGGAGAGCGCGAGGTGTGCGGTGCGGCACAGAGTCCTTGGTACAGGCCTTCGTACCATCCACCCTCATGCGATTCCAGCCTTTGCCCAGGGTACTTCACGACGCAGGTTACGGCGGGGAAGACGTACCTGCTTCGCTTTATCAACGGAGGCAGCCTGTCGCTGTTCAGCGTTGCCATTGAGAACCACAACATGACAGTGATCGAGGTAGACGGAATGGCCACGCAGAAGCACACCACGGACACCATTGACCTCAATTCGGGCCAGCGAGTCAGCGTCTTGGTGACCATGGACCAGCCACCAGGAGCGTATACTGTCAAGGTCATCACCCGGGGAAGATCGTCACAGCGAACAGGTTACGCCATCATCGAGTACGCGGGTGCCGCATCCCAGAGCGTGCAACCAGAGACTGCCAATGTGTCAACACCCGCGTGGGACGACAACAACTTCACCTTCGATTTCCAGCAGGCAATCAAAGGACTCTACACGGGGGACACCGCGATCGCCGCGGTTCCAGACGACAGCCTTGTCCAGCGGACATTTTACATGCTCAGCACGCAGGAGCGCATGGACCACACAGCGACGTACAACGGCGTGCCCTCGGTGAACGACCTCACAGTGGCCATTGGTGGCCCTGGGGACAGGCCCCAAGACAATTGCGACTCTGCAGGAAACACCAAGAATCTGCGGTGGCTCTTGGGGAGGAGGTCGTGGATGGGCAGCAACACGCCGACACTCGCATCTCTGTACTTCGACATCAACAGAGACCAGATCTCTGAAGAACACAACTACTTCGCGGTGGATGTCGGCCAAGTGTACGACGTTGTGATCCAGAATTACCCCGCTTGCAACGGCCACTGCGAGACCCACGCTTTCCACGCGCACGGCATGCACTTCTGGGTCTTGGGCACTGGCCGTGGAGAATGGACAGGGTCGGCGGAGCAACTTGCCTCGCTGAACAAGGTTGACCCGGCGTTCCGAGACGTGACGCAGGTCGTGAGCGAGGGCGTCAATAACGAGCCGTTTGGCAAGAACTCCGACGATTTCGGCCCATGCGGATGGACAATGATCCGGTTCAAGGTGTATTCTCCTGGGGCGTGGTACTTCCATTGCCATATGATTTGGCACATCTTGATGGGCCAGAACGCAGTCTTCTACACGCCTGCTGACACTATCCCAGCACCACCTGATGATCTGCTATTCTGTGGTGACATGACCATGTCATCCGCTCTAGCCAAAAAATCTGAAGCAACAACAACGAGCGCGACAAACTCCGACAACGAGGCCAACTCCGGACGGATGCGCCGTTTGGGGACTGCCTCTGTGGCCGCTGGAGGAGTGATGTCCTGGCTTCCGTTCTAGAGCCTCGTTTGACGTATCGGATCAGTTCCAGACTTCTTTTTGTGATCCCACCCAGCGCGGGATGATGTTTTTCGGAGTGGATGTGCGGTGACCCTGTCCAGAACTATTCCGCGAAGTTGGGAAGCATTCAACTATCCTAGTTGTGTCCTGTCTTCTTCCTCCTCTCCTCCCTGATTCCTCCTCCGTGGCATGTCAGGAATCTGGTAAATGCCGACTTTGTGTATCGTATGGTTTTGTGTTCCAGCTCCTTGGAGGTATTGCGCGTTGTTTGATTATCAATTCTTTACGCTTCGCGTATCCCCACCAGCCCATCTCACAACAGCAACTCTTGCGAAGCATGCCGACAGTCGTGTTTTTCAGGTGTGTGTCCGCTTGCCCCCGCATATCTCCCCTGTTCCTCCTTCCTCCCGCCTCCTTGTACATCCTCCTTGTGGGGGGAGCGGGAGAAGGACGAGGCGGAGGAGGAGGGAGAGAAAGCGCTCCTCGTGGTTTGAGTCGTTCGGGCTTCTCGTCCTGGTGTGAGTCGTTCGGGCCCTTCTTCCTGGTGTGAGTCGTTCGGGCTCTTCGTGGTGTGAGTCGTTCGGGCTCTTCGTCCTGGTGTGAGTCGTTCGGGCTTCTCGTGGTGTGAGTTGTTCGGGCCCCTCGTCCTGGTGTGAGTCGTTCGGGCCCCTCCTCCTGCCCGTCCAGAAACGACGCCCAGGCGAGTAGAGGGTCGTCCTGATGGGCTTTTCGGCGTCTTGGGTGCCTCGGGGGGGCCTCTTTGGGCCGTTTGGGATCCTCTTGGGGGCCTCCTGGGGGCCTCTTGGGGCCATCTTGGGGCCTCTTGGTGCCTCCTGGGCGCTTCTTGGGGCCATCTTGGAGGAAATCGATCAAAGAAGAGGGGAGCTTTAAGTAGCGCTGCCCCCTCAGAAGGCCAAAATGGGGCCAAAACCTGAGTAAAATCAATGATTTTGGCTTGAAAGAAGAGGGGAGCTTTAATTAGCGCTGCCCCCTCAGAAGGCCAAAATGGGGCCAACACCGTAGTAAAATCAATGATTTTGGCTTCAAAGATGAGGCGAGCATTTTTCTGCCTCCCCCTGTCGGGGCCAGAATCCTCGTGAGGGGTGTCGTTTTTTAGCCCTCCCAGGAGTCGAAAAAGACCCCTCCGACGACCCGCGAAAGGACCTCTCCAGGCCCAGGGGGAGGGGGTAGGGGGAGGGGTAAGCCCCTCCCCGAAGGGGAAGAAGGGGGGTTGAGAACAGAGAGAGCTCGCTAAACCACTCACGCCCAAAGGGCTGGTGGGATTATAAATGTTCGTTTGGACCATGGATAGCCGCGATTTCAATGCGGCACCCGCTCGACGGACGCAGGAATCAGCCTGTGCAATCAGCTTGTCCCGCATGCTTCACTTCGGCTTGTGCGTTTCCCGCCAGTAGTTAGACCGACTGAGACTTGTGGTGTGCTGCCCATCGATTGTCGGCGTCCTCCCCGGCAAACAAAAAACAGCTCTACGAAAGGCTGACAGGAGGCTCCGTAGACGGGCCCAGAAAGCCTCAAGAGGATCCAAGGTAGGCGCCCGAGATGCAAAACATGATTTATTACATTTCGATGTTTGAGCGGTTTTCGGATTCTTGCTGTTCCGCCGCTCAGAACGCCCAAGTCGACCCAAGAGGCCCCACTACCCACCCAAGACAGTCTGAAAGGCTCCCAAAAGGGGCCCTTGGAGGTGCCCAAGACAGTCAAAGAGGAGCCCCAAGTTGCCCCTGCAGGCCCGAGGAGCCCAAGGCGGTCCAAGAGGGCCCCAAGACGGCCCAAGAGGGGCCTCAGATGGCCCTGCGACGGCACAAGGAGCCTCCCAAGATGGCTCAGAGGAGCCCAAGAGCGCCCCGAAAAGAGGCCCCCAAGGCGCCCCCCAAAGGCCCTAGCAGACTCCCAAGACGGCCCAGGATGCCCCCAATCCTCACCGCGCGGGAGGCGTTTGGTCAGTGAGTTCGTAATGGCATCGAAGCTGAGGGGGCACGCGCCGAACGCTGCTGCTCTTTGCCCTCAGATCCTGTCCCCCCCCCTCGCCTCCCCTTTCTTCTGCTGCTCCTGTAGCAGCGTTGTGAAACAGAGCCCGCGGAGTGTCACAGAGCGTGCAACGCTAATGGTTCCCGCCTGGCCGCATCACTTCGGCCCAAGCGGTTTTTCTCAGGGCGGCGTATGGGAGATTTCGGCTGGGCCACCTTCTCCAAAGCCTCCACCTTCGAGGCTGCCAGCAGCGGATTGCAGGTCTCTCCTTGTGCCCTGGCGCTGTCGACCAGCGCCAACGCCTGCCTCTCCGAGACCGGCGTCTGGGGGGCGCCAGTGCCGCTGGGCGCGGCGGTCGTCGCCGGGGGCCTGGGTGTCCTGCTCGGCGTCCTCGCGGTGCTGCTGGTGCAGGTGACCGTCTGCACGTGCCTGGTGTCGGTGCGGATTGGCCTGTGGGGTCTCTGGAAGACCGCACCGGCGCCTTCGCGAGCCGAGCGGCAGGAGCAGCTGGCGCCCGTCGTGGACGCGCCCGTGCAGGTGCAGCTAGCGCTTCAGCATGCCGGCCAAGTCGCTGGTGCGCCGGGCGCTCAACCTGAAGGCAGGGGACGTAGTGTTCCTCGACTACGGGGAGGCAGAGGAACCGTGGCATGAGAGGCTGATCCTCGCGTCTTTGGGCGGGGCGAGGTACCTGGTGCTGACCCCCGACGAGGACATGTACGAGGAGGAGATCGACACGCGCAGCGTGGCCGACTTCCGGCAGGCGGGCCCGCGGGGCGGCCGGGCAGCTTGGAGCAGCAAAGGGCCAGCCGGTCTACCGCTTCACGGAGCGGCCGCGCGGCGCTGCCTTGCAGTCGTGGATCGACGCGGCGGAGGAGCAGGCCGTGGAGCTGCGCGCGGCGCGGGGGCTCGCCGAGGAGCCTGAGCCTCCGCCCTTGGCTGACGGGGGCGCGCCCTCGGGGGCGGGCGCCGCGGGCTCCGGCTCGCTCGACGTCCCCGAGGGCGCGTCAGGCGGGGCGCGGTGTACTCGCTCCCAGACTCGCTCGACACGCCGTCGGAGGACTTCGTGGCGTTCGGGCAGCACGGGCTCTACGACCTGGGCCGTCGCGGCAGGTCGGCGGTCCTGGTCAGGCTGGCGCCGGGCGAGACCGCGGACGAGGCCTTGCGGACCTTCGTGGCGTCCGCGGTGCCGGACGCCGTCGGGGGGACGCGGACGCCGCCACCCGCCGAGGACGCCCGCGCGCTGGCCATCAAGCGGGACGCGGCCGGCCGCCGCTTTCGGGATCTGAAGAGTGTGGCGGACTCGTCGGAGCAGTGTGAGTTCGAGGACTGGGCGCTGTCGGGCCCCCGCACTGCCTCGTACGTGGTGAAGGAGATTGCCAAGCAAAGCGGGGGCCCGGTCCAGCGTCACACCACGTGGAAGCACGAGAACAAGCTTAACGATGACGAGCATAGCGTGGTGGCCCACGAGATGCCGTCGGAGATTTTGGAGTTGGCTTGCACCTACGACCAGGTCGACGTGGCCAACCTGGCGAGCATGGAGGCGCTCGCGAGGCACCTGCAGTTCCTGGAGCACAAGGTCAAGAAGAAGAAGGAGACGATCAAGGATTTCGACTCCCAGGACTACTACCTGGGGCGCACCAGGAGGACGGGCGGGGCTATCATCCGCCCGGAGCTGCTGAAGTGGGTCGCGGAGTCCGCGGCCCGGGATTCGGCCATCTTGAAGGAGGAGCGCAAAGCTGCGGAGGAGCGTGCTTTGGCGCGCGCTCCTCCGAAGAAGTCATGATGGGCTTCGAGGCTGGGAGTTGGCCGTACCCAGCCGGTGCCACCAGGCCGCTGGAGCGCATGGTGCCGAGGGATCTGCTGCCCTTGCCCTTGGTGCCCGTGCCGCCGGCTCGGGGCGCGCGGGCGTTGCCGCGCCGCTCCGCCCAGAGGATCGGCCGCAGGTCTGCTGTGGGCCGCGGTGTGAACGATTGCATCGCCGCCCTGAACAACTTGTACGGGGAGGGCGACTTTTGCTCGAAGGCCCGTCCTTCGGAGGCACAATTTTCTGCTGTGGACATGCTCTGGCAGGCCGTGTCGGGCGACAAGCCGCCAGACGACGCCCCCAGCCCCGAGGCAGCCCTCGTGGAGTTGCTCGGCATGGGTAGTCTGGGCTATGGCCCCGACGGCCCCACTGTGGTTGCGCCGTATGATCGCGGCCTGGTTTCGTGGCCTGAGTCGGCGGGCTGTGTCAGCTTGCTGGAGGTGCTGCCGGAGCCAGACCGCCAGGAGGTGATCGACGGTAAGAATTCGATGATGCTTCGCGCTGAAGAGGTTCGCCCAGGCGCCACCAAGGTGTACTGGGATAAGACCTTGCAATCCGACGCAGACGAGTACCAGCGGTTCGTGCAGGACCTGCTGGCCCGCGACATGGTGGAGCTGCGGACTCGTCGCGATTTTGAAGTGGGAGTCTTCTTTGTGAAGAAGAAGTCGGGCCGCCTGAGGCTCATTGTGGACGCTCGGGCTGTCAACCAGGCGCTGAAGCGGCCGCCGACGATTCACATGGCGTCCACCGCGGCGCTAGTGAACATGGAGGTCGAGGACGGCGCCCAGCTGGAGTTCTCGATCCAGGACATCGCGGACTGCTTCTACCAGTTCCGCGCGCCGGACTACATGGTGCCGTGGTTCGGCATGCGCCCGCTCAGAGCGAGGCAGCTGGGCGTGATGGTGGTCGACGGCCTCGCGGTCTCAGAGGGGGCGTGGGTCTGCCCGTGCCTGCGGGTGCTGCCCATGGGCTTCGCGTGGGCCATGCGCTGGACGCAGCAGGCGCACCGCGAGCTGCTGCGGCGGGGAGGTCTCGGTGGCATCGAGAGCGAGCTGGTGGACAGGCAGATCGCTCCGAGCGTGGACTCTCCTCAGGTGCCGAGGGTCGTCTACGTGGACAACGAGATCTTCGTCTCGTCGCGACCGGGCGCCACCCGGGGTGCGAGGAGGCAGGCAGCCAAGGTGATGACCGAGGCCGGGCTGCCACTGCACGAGGTCGAGGAGAGCAAGACGGTCGTGGAGGCGCTGGGCCTGGAGCTGGACGGCCTCAAGCTGCGGGCGCGGCTGGCGCGGGCCAAGCGCTGGAGGCTCGGGCTGGGCACCCAGGCGCTCCTGCGGCGCCGGCGCGTGGCTGGCCGGGAGGTCGAGCAGATGATCGGCCACTTCGCGCATGCCATGCTGCTGAATCGCCCCGCTTTGTGCGTCTTCCGGTCGGCCTACGACTTCGCCCGGAAGCACTACAGGGTGCCCGTGCCGCTCTGGCCCTCGGTGCGGCAGGAGCTGGCCAACGCGCTGCACCTCATGCCGCTGCTGGCCGTCCAGTTCGATCTGCCGTGGTCCGGGCGCGTCACCTGCTCCGATGCCACGCTGCGCGGCTATGCGGTGCAGGAGGCCGACATGGAGCCGCCAGCCGTGCGGGAGGTCGGGCGCTGGAGTGAGCGCTGGCGCTTTCGCATCCAGTCAGCCTTGCGCCCGCGCGAGGCAGCTCTGCTCGAGCGCTCGGGTGAGAGTCTGCACGAGCGACCTCTACCTCCTCCTCCGCCGGGGCTCCCAGGTGCTGACCCCATGGGCCCCCAAGGTTTACATCATGTACACCCAGCTCTGCCTCTACGGGTTCCTGAAGGCCTCAGTGGTGCCCCTCGTCGTCAAGTGCTTCGGGATCTACCTCTGGCTGGGGCCCATGGGGCTGCTGGGGCCGCTGCTGAGGGCTACTTGGGCGAGGAGTCAGGTTATCCAGCAGGTTTCCTAGGAGACCTCATCGACGGGGACGTGGACATCAGCATCAATCGGGAGTTCCCGGAGATCCCCAAGGGGTTCATCAGCGAGGGCTCGTGGAGGACCATCCAGGCAAGAAGATATCATAGGGGAGAGGCCGTCCATCTTAAGGAGCTCAGGGCCGTGCTGTTCGGGTGGAGGCGTAAGTGTCGTCAAGCTAGATACCATCGTCATCGCCATTTGTTTCTGTGTGACAACATGGGTATGATCCTGAGCCTCGAGAAGGGCCGAGCGGTGTCATTTCCGGTGCTGGTTCTGCTCAGAAAGTGGGCCGCCTTGTCGCTGGCCTCCTTCTCTCGCACCAGCGTGCGCTGGGTGGCCAGCGAGCTCAACCCAGCTGATGGGCCTAGCCGATGGTTCGACTCGCCTGCTGAGAAGGCGGCCGCTGCTGCGCTGGGCGCCTGGCGACGCCGGCCCGCTGGAGAGGCCGCCGAGGCTTGCTCGAGCGCTTCCCGGGAGGGATGGTGCGCACGGGCTTGGCAGCCCCCCTCGCGAGAGGGTGCTGCGGAGGCGCGGCGCCTTGTCAGAGAGCCACAGGCTGCCGCCCCGCCGTCTGCCTGCCCCAGCCCCTGTGGTCAGAGCGGCAGCGGGCCAGGCATCCTCGACCGAGCGGCGGCTGCTTTCATCGACGAGGTCTCGCCGATCCCGTGTGCCCCGCCGCGGCCGCCCTCCCCCGCCAGCGTTCGCGCGAGCGATCGAGGCGGCGAGGGCGCGGTCGGTCGGGACTGGTGGACTCACGACGCTGGAGCAGGAGAGCATCACCCAGAAGACGAGGCAGGACTACTCGAGGAGGCTGGAGCGGTTCGACGTCTTCTGCAAGACCCACGGACTCACCACGGCGAGCGACGTCGAGCTGGAGGAGGCCGTGGTGGAGTACATGGAGCTGCAGTTCAGCCGGGGGGAGCCGTCGAACAGCGGGGCCAAGCTGCTGGCCGCGATAGGGCATCGCGACCCAAGGCTGCACCACGCGGGCAGGCTGCTGAAGCTGCCCCGCGTGGCGAGGGCGCTGCAGGGCTGGCGGAGGCTGGTGCCGCCGCTGACGCGGGCGCCCGCGCCTTGGGCGGCGGTGGCGGCCATCGCGGTGGCCCTGATCTACCTCGGCCAGCGACGCGCGGCCCTCGGCGTGGTGCTCGAGGCGGACGCCTACCTGCGCCCAGGGGAGCTGCTGACCCTCAGGGCGGACCACGTGGTGCCGGCGCAGCCGCATGCCGGGGGGGGCTACTGCTTCACGTCCCTGGTGCTGAGGCCCGAGGAGGAGCTGCAGTCCACCAAGACCAGGGGCTTCAACGACTCGATCCTGCTCGACAGCCCCGCAAGGTCTTTTCTCGGGCCCCTGCTGGAGCAGGTCGCATTCCAGTCGCAGCCGATGGAGCTCCTCTTTCCGTGGTCGGGCGCGGCCTTCAATGCCATGTTCAAGGAGGCAGCCGCGCTCGTCGGGCTCGAGAGCTGGGAGTTGACGCCGTACATCCTTCGCCACTCCGGGCCGTCTCACGATTGGCTCACCAAGGCAAGGAGCTTGGAGGCCATCAAGCGCCGGGGCCGCTGGGCGTCCGACCTCAGCGTCAGGCGCTACGAGAAGGGCTCCAGGGTGATGCGCCGCCTGGCCTCGCTCGACCGCGGCCGGCAGCTGCTGCTGGCCGAGGCCGACCGGATGCTCGAGGGCGCCCTGAAGGACGGGCGCATCAACGGCTTCGCGCGGCTGCTCCAGGACGTGGGCCTCGGATGACTTCGTGTGAGCCTAGGGCACGTGCCAGGCCGTTAGTTTTGGAGCTCTTTTCGGGGAAAGGAGGGCTCTCGGCTTCGCTGCAGCAGCGGGGCTGGAGGGCCCGCACCTGGGACATCAGAGATAGTGCTTCACAGGACGTGAGCAAGGAAAAATCCATTCGTGCGGTGCTAAAGCTTGTGCCGCAGGCCAGATGGGTCCACCTTGGCACACCGTGCGCAAGTTTTTCAGGGGCACGCCGAGGCATGCCGGGCTCTCCAGGTGGCCCGCTGCGCTCCTGCCAGTATCCCTGCGGTCTCCCGAACCTTTCAGAAGTTGACGCCGAAAAGGTGCGGATAGGCAATCAGCTGCTGCGAACCACAATTCGTATCATCAGAGCCTGCGTCCGGCATCAAGTGCCAGTGTCCTTGGAAAATCCGCGTAGGTCCGGGCTGTGGAGGCAACCCGGACTGGCATGTCTGTTGCGCCATGCGTCTCTCACGCACACAGTCTATTGTAGATATGGAATGCCGTGGCGGAAAGAGACCACCCTAGCGTGCTGGGACGACAAAAGAGAATTGTTGTCGCCGCTCGCCGCTCAGTGTGCCAATGCCGTCTGTGTTTTTCCAAGAGACCACACCAAGTTCTCGAGGGTAAGGCTCCCGGAGGCCGCCTGTGGACACAAGTCGCCGAGCCCTACCCGCCCCGTTTGCTGCAGCGCTGGTCGCAACTGATTCATGAGTCGCTTTTGGAGAAGGGGCCGCCTCAACCGCCAGAACGCGTATAGTGGCGGTTGTTGGCAAGATTGGAGCTAGCTCGAAGATGCTGGCTCGCGTTCGGTCGCATTCGAGTTGCATGCTGCCCTGCGAGAATCATCCGTTCTGGCCTCAGGAAATATATGCATGTAGCAGCGTTGTGAAACAGAGCCCGCGGAGTGTCACAGAGCGTGCAATGCTAATGGTTCCCGCCTGGCCGCATCACTTCGGCCCAAACGGTTTTTTTCTCAGGCCCTAAGCCATCCCACTGCGTGCCTATTCAGTCTAGATGTATATATAGTACGTAAGCTGCGGCAAGATTGGAGCTAGCTCGAAGATGCTGGCTCGCGTTCGGTCGCATTCGAGTTGCATGCTGCCCTGCGAGAATCATCCGTTCTGGCCTCAGGAAATATATGCATCCTGCTCCTCCTGCCCCTCCTCCTCCTCCTCCTCCTCCTCCGCCCTTGCCGCCCTGGGGTAGGGCGTCGGCGGCGGCAGCGGACTCTGGACCTCCCAAAAGCGCGTGCGCTCCTCCTCCTCCTCCTCCTCCTGTACCCTCTCCCTCGCCACCCCTTCCCCCTTCTCCTCCACCCCGTCTTCCGCCCCGTCCTCCGCCTCCCCCCTCTCCCCGCTGCAATTCGCCTCGTGTGCCTCCCCCGCGCGCCCTACCTGCCCCCCCGTCTCCTCGGCCACCCCTGGGCGCCAGGGCTCGCGAAGGTGACGGGGGAGCTCAAGAAGACGAACCTGGCCTTCGCGAGTCTCCAGGACGCGCTACATCGGCTGCGAATACGAACATCATCGTATACGCAGAGATGTTCGGAGCTTCGCGTTGACATCTTGGATCGGCGCTGGACGCCGCTGGCGCCGCCCCTGGCGCGCTCCGGGTGCCAGGGAGGGGGTTCCTGATCGAAGTCCGCGCGCAGCTCCGGAAGTTGGTGTAGCTTATCGTTGCGCCATGCATTCTTCTCCGCGGGGGGGAGGAGAAAGAGGAGCATGAAGAGGAGGAGGAGTAGGACGAGTAGGAGGAGGAGGAGGAGGAGGAGGAGGAGGAGGAGGAGGAGGAGGAGGAGGAGAGAGGAGGAGGGAGGTGGAGGAGGAGAGGGGGACGGGGAGGAGGAGGGAGGAGGAGAGGAGACGATGGAGCGACTCGACGAGAAGCACCAGGGGGGGTGGTTGGGGGAGGACTAGGGAGGAGAGGAGGAGGAAGGAGGAGTAGTGGAGGAGGAGGATGAGGAGGAGGAGGAAGGAGGGAGAGTAGGAAGGAGGAGGAGGAGCGAGGCGGAGGCGGAGCGAGGCGAGGCGGAGGCGGAGGCGGAGGCGGAGGCGGAGGAGGAGGAGGAGGAGGAGTAGGAGGAGGAATAGTAATAATAATACTATTAATAATAAAAATATAAGTAATAATAATCATAATACTACTACTAATAATAATAATAATATTAATACTAATAATAATACTAATACTAATACTAATAATAATAATACTAATACTACTACTACTACTACTACTACTAATAATAATAGTAGTAGTTAAGTAAGTATAGTAGTAGTAGTAAGTAGTATATAATATATTAATACTAATATAATAATGGAGTTTTAATAATAAGATTAATGCTATTATTATTATTACTCTAATAATACATGATTATACTAATAAATACTAATAACAATAAATAATGAATACTAAAGAATAATATTAATAGACTAATAATAATACTACTAAAATAATAATACTAATAATAAAATAGTAAATAATAAATAATAATACTACATAATAAATAATACTAATATCTAAATATAATAACTATATACTCATAAATAATAATAATAATAATAATCATAATGAATACTAATCATAAGAAAGAAGAAGCAGACGAAGAAGAAGAAGAAGAAAATAATAATAAAATTACAAGAAGAAGAAGAGAAGATAAGAAGAAGAAGAAGAAGAAGGAATAAGAAGAATAATTCTTATTATGATAGAGAAAGAAGAATACTTGATAAAAGAGTAAGGAGGAGGAGGCGAGGAGGAGGAGAGGAGTAGGAGGAGGATGAGGGATGAGGAGGAAGGAGGAGGAGGAGGAGGAGGTGTAGCTAGGACTGAGACCAACTCGTCCGCAGGCGCAGCTCCGGGCTCGTGCCCTCTCCTGGGGCAGCTCTTCAGGGAGGGCTCTGGCGCTGACCCGCTGTTGTTGCCACCGAGCAGACCTCACCGCAACGGCCGGGGAAACGCGGCCATGCATTCCCGCAGCCCTCACGCCGAGAGGCCGAGGGACGGCGAGGCCGTGGGAGACAGACGATTCGGCATGACGAGGCTGCCCGTGCTGGCCGCCCGCGGGCGGCGGCCGCCGCAGGCGGGCCTCTGCCTCTGCCTCTGCTCCTCCTCCTCCTCCTCTCCTACTCCTCCTCCTCCTCCCCTCCTCCTCCTCCTCCTCCTCCTCCTCCTCCTCCTCCTCCTCCTCCGCCTCCTCCTCCTCCTCCGTCGTGGCGTCCAGGCTGACACCTGCGCTGCGCACGGGCCTCACGCGTCGTCGATCCGAGCGTTGACCGCGACAGGAAAGCGCCTGCGAAGTCTGGACCGCTGGGTCCGCAGTCCTGGGGCAGAGGGTCCCCGGCATGGGCCACCCATCGGCGGGCGAGGGGGGGGAGCGAGAAGGAAAGGGCCTTCTCAGAGGGCGGCGGGACTTCTCAGAAGCCCTCGCGCCTTCTGAAAGGAGTATTTGTTCTGTGCTTCTTCGGGGAAGGCTCCGACAACTTCTCAGACGGCCAGGGGACTTCCGAGCCTTCTGAGAAAACCCGCCCCTTCCCACTTCCCCCCCGGGGCGCGCCGCCGAATCCAGGCCCTCTCCTCTCCGCACCTGCGGAAACATAGAACCCCCACAGGACTTACAGCACCAACACTTCATCTCGAGGCTGGATCTTCGCACCACCCTCGATGCTTAGGAGATCCGCTTGCGCCGGGCTGTGACGGTCAAGAGCCCAAGGGGGCCCCGAGTTTTGGACGACGCCCTCATCGGGCGGAGGTTGAGGGGCAGCAGCAGCAACACCAGGCAGGCTACCGCCTCGGGACTTTCGAGCCGTCTAAGAAGGCCCGCCCCTTCTCCCTTCACTCTCTAGAGGTCGGAAAGGGGGTGTGACATAAGGGGGTGTGGTGCCAACCGTGGAAATGGCGATGCTATCTGCGATACATGACCTCGCCAGGTCCAGCATTGGCACCACACCCCTTTACACCACACCCCTTTCCTACCCCCTGACCTTCCTCTGCCATGCGCAGAGGGAGGTGGGGGGAGGGGGGAGGGCTTCCCAGAAGCACCCCTGCCTCTTAGAAGGCGCGGGCCTGATCTATAGATGTGAGGCCATCGCCTTCTAAGAAGCAGCCTCCTTCGAAGAAGTCCCCCCCCCTTCCTCCACCCCCTCCTGCGCGCCGCCAATCGCCGCAGCGCCATCCGCGCCAGGGGAGGAGGGAGGAGGAGGAGGAGGAGGAGGAGGAGGAGGAGGAGGAGGAGGAGGAGGAGGAGGAGGAGGAGGAGGAGGAAGGAGGAGGATGGAGGAGGGAGGAGGAGGAAGAGGAGGAAGGAGGAGGAGGAGGAGGAGGAGGAGGAGGAGTAGGGCGGAGGAGGAGGAGAGGAGGAGGAGGAGGAGGAGGAGGAGGAGGAGGAGGAGAGGAGGAGGAGGAGGAGGAGGAGGAGGAGGAGGAGGAGTGCGCGCCGCCAACTTCCCCCCCGGGGGCGCGCCGCCGATCTTCTCCCCCGGCCCGGTGCCGTGCCCGTCGCGGGGGGTGCCGAGCCGCTCTCCCTCTCAGTCGGACTTCGCCCCTCTACAGGGGGAAAGCAGTGGGGGCGCGCATCAAGAAACCATACGATTGTCGTCAGGGTACCCTGGGTTTCTTCGCTCCGCGCGCCGCGCGGTGACTTCCCGCAGCCGGGGAAGGAGCGTCAGGGTGCTCCGGATTTCCCCTCAGGTGCACCTCGCGCGCGGGTTTCCAAGGTCGGGTTTCTCGCGAGGGTTTCTTGCGACCGCGCCCGCACTGTAGTCAGGAACTGTCAAGCAGTAGCCTGGGGACGATGTGCTTGAGCATCCGTGGGACACTTTCCCGTGAAACCAGCAAGACACGTCCACAATCCGCCCGTAGGGGGACATGCCCGACCGGACTCCCCGTGCGAAGGAGGCGGTCGCCCTGCTGCAGTCCAGCAAAGCCGAGGCCGCCGCCCTCGAGGTGCTGCGGCACGAGGCCGCCAGGCGCCCGCCGGCGCCAGCCGCCTCGCTCGGCATCGCTCGGACGTGTGCAGTCCTGTCTCGGCGGCGGGCGAGGGCGGGGCAGTTCCCGACATGCGGTGTGCTGCCAATGACGCTCGCGGAGGCAGCTGTCCGTCACACGCGACGCGCAGGGGCAGTTCCCGACATGCGGTGTGCTGCCAATGACGCTCGCGGAGGCAGCTGTCCGTCACACGCGCAGTTCTGCACTCGTCTGTGCGGGTCGTGTGTGGCGGGCCCCCTTCCCACCCCAAAAAGCTGGTCGACTGTTCGCCATTCGACTTGCTGGGATCGAGCCAGATACATCCAGGCAGATGGCAGGCACATCGAGGCAAATCCAGGTGAATCCAGGCAAATCGAGATACATCCGGGTAGATCCAGGTCGACCCAGAGATCTCCAGGGAAAAATGGAGCAACTCGCGGCCGCTCCAGCGCGAGTCGAAGGACGGCAGAAGTCGTTAAACCTTCAATATGCAGTGAGAAGGAGAAGTCCTTCTCAGCGGGCGGCGGGACTTCTCAGAAGTCCGCAAGGCCTTCTGAGAAGGCTTCTGCGTTTCGGGGAACAAAGCCCGCCCCTTCTCACCTCCCTCCTGGGCGCGCCGCTTATTTTTCGGTGAAGAGCATCTTGCAGCCTCGTGCAGAAAATAGGCGCACGAGGCCAAAACATCTGCGCGGTGAATGAACGTCCGAGCGATGGCGAGCTCGCGCCGGCCATCGCTGGGGGTCGCGCGGGGCGGGGGCCGAATGTTTGCTTGGAACGCAGCTCCTGACTTCAGCCCAGCCTCTGCGCTGGTGTATCCGTGGTCGCGAACCGGCCCGCTACACCATGATTCCGTTTAATTCCGCTCCTTACCGTTGGGGTTCGAGCCTATTTCAGGGGCAGCGAAAAGGGGGGATTGGCATAAGGGGGGACGCATCGACCCCCACTCGTCCATTGATCGCCGATAGGGGCCTGATAGCCCCAACCCGCCCAGGAAGGTGCGGTTTCACTATCGGGGGCCTATCGCCGATCTATCGGCGATGTATCGCCGATTCCAGGTCGATGCATCCCCCCTTATGCCTATCCCCCTATCGTTGCCCCTCGCTGTTCTGGGCTGGAATCAAAACTGGCGTTCAGGATGTCCTTCGGTGCTCGTCGTCCTTACTGAGGGTGCTCGCATTCCTGGCCTTCGCGCCGTACCAAGGGGCTTGTATCCTTGAGCTCTATCCTTAAATCGGGCCTGTCCCTCTACAGGAGGAAGATTTTAAACAGTCAAAACATAGTATGGGGACGATTTTTGTTTGGAATCATGTTTGAGCATTTTTTGAGCATCTTTGACTATTTTTAATTTTTCGCCCAACATCCCTCTGTAGGGGGACAGGCCCGACCTAAGCCTTGCATCCTTGAGCTCTATCCCTGTCGCCGATCCCACAAAGACCCCTCGATTCCACAAAGACCTCCCAGCTGTTGCCTCCCAGCCAAGCGCGAAGGCCGCTGCCGCCGCGCCGCGCGCAGCAGTCGGCCGGGCGCGCCGCAGCGGCCCCTCGTGCACCTCTTGCGTGCAGCCGGCGTGGATCCGAGGGCAACGATCAGGAGGAGAAAAAACACACATACAGAATTATTCGTCGACTCCCAGAAAATATGCTGAAATATGGGAAATGGGGGGGGAAGACAGAAACCCAGAAAATATGGGGAAATATGGGGAACCTTTTAATTTGTGTGTATTTATTTGTGTGTCCCAGGTCCCCTTCAAACGAGTCGGGAGCCTTGAGACGGGGTCAACGCAACCGGGGGTCAGCCAGAGCGCCCGATCTTGCAGGATCCTGTAGGGCGATGGGCGCATTGACCTGGGTTTGGATGCAGGATGCTGCAGGATCTGACAGGATCCTTCGCATTGACCCCGGTTTGGGTGCAGGATCTTGCAGGATCCTGCAAGGCCTGACCGACACGGGTCTGGCTTGACCCGGGTCAGGAGATCCCCGATTGAGGGACCCTGGAGGCCGAAAACGGATTAAAGCATGGGTTGTTTTCAGGGGCGTCCGTCTTCGGCGTCGGCGTCGGTCGGCGTCTTTTGCAGACCTTTTGTGGTCGGCGTCGTCAGCGACCTCTGGAGGTCGGTCGGCATTGGGCAACCTTTTGAGGTCGTCGTCGGCGTCGGCGCCGATGAGCGCCGTCCGTCTCTGGCGGCGGCGTCGGCGGCAGTCTCAGCGTCGGCTTCGGCGTCGGCGGCGTCGTCGTCCCCCGTCGGCAGCGGCGTCGATGGTGGCGTCGGTCTCGGTATTGGCCTTGACGTCGGCGTCAGGGATCCTAACGCCCGCGCTACCACGAAGCATGGTGAGCTCGTCCTCGACCTCCTCAACCTCCTCGTCCTCCTTTTGCTCCTCCACTTTGTCGTCATCCTCGTCCTTCTCGTCCTTATCGTCCTCGTCCTCCTCTCCCACCTGCTCATCGTCCTCCTCTTCGTCCTCCTCGTCCTTCCCTCATCCTCAATTCCTCTCTCGTGAAAAATAACGCCTCTTTGTCGCACCCCGAGGCTGGTCGCAAGGGCGGGCCAGGCGTTTCGCCTGAGACCTCCTCACCATTTCTGACCCTGAAGCTTCAACATTGGCAACAGTTTCACAAATGGAGGGCGGGTGGTTTTCAAAATGTGGCTCTCGCCTTAGCGCCGCACGCATTCGATTTCAAACATTGCAAGAGTTTCACGGATTGAGGGCGGGCGGTTTTCAAATGTGACCTTGCCAAGGTTCATGTACGGAGGCTCGTCAGCCCGCGGTACATGGCTGGGGGGGTCCTCTGTTTGACCGCATCCGGACTTCTTGGGATAAGTCTCTTGAACTCGTGCGACGTGGATTGGGATTCGTTCGAGGTCCAAAGAGAGCTTCCCAAGCCACGCTGATATCTCTCTCGGCTGGCAGTGCCCTTCGCCGACTGAGGTGCATGAGCCCAACAGGGAAGTTTTGCGGATGGTGGGCTCGGACGAGGGTCGTGTGACCGCGCTCCTCGAGGCCTTCGATGCCCATCTTGACGCTAAACATCGGCGCGCTGCCGCGGCCTTTCATGACGGAGGCGGTGCGGAGAATGGCGTCGAATGGACGCACGTGCCGAGACTCATTCGGCGCGTAGCGAGAGACGGTGATTTGGTGCTGTCCCGCATGATTCGGCTAGTCGCATGCGGCGGTTATTAACCAGAGGAGCGCAATGACTCATCTAAGATTGTTCCTGATCCTCTGTGCCAGTTTTGTCGGTCATCTGTTGACTCGTCTTGTCCTGTTTGTTGGAGTTGCTCATGTCACGCCACCTCCTCTTGTCAGCACATTTCCAAGAGCAATGAGCTTTGCCAGCAGGCCCTTGACTGCACAGGTCAACACCCTAGCTTTTGTGTCGTGGTCTCATTCCCAAAGAATGGTTGCTTCTTCCCGGATGTCCAGAGGATCGGGCGTTTGAGTTCTTCCGATGCTATGATGGCCTTTTTCTGGAAGGAATTTTCGGCGGCGATGGTTCTGGATGGCCTCATGCCACCGGCCACATCCTGCGCCGGGTGTCTTTTGGCTTCGCGCGCATGCGCATCGTTGCTGATCTTGGTTGGGATTGTGGGGCGCACGGATTGCTGGACAATCAACGTCAGACAGTGCCGCGCGCAGCGTTGGCTGCCATTGTGGATGTGGTGCGTCGCTTGGGACGTAATCAGGACGTGACGGCGGTCACCGACCTCATCAATCACCTGAGCGCCTTTCAGAAGGGACGTCATCACACCCTTCGGTTGCAGAGTGCTGATCTGTGGCGGGAGCTCTGACAGCTGCTCGACTCGCGGTCTGGCATGTCTGAATTAGTTTACACGCATCGCCATCGTGCCGATGATAATGCGAAGCTTGCTTGTCTGGCAGCTTCTTTGGTGCAGCATCATCTTTTCATCAATGCGATCGCGGATGGTCTGGCCACGGCGCGGTCGGTGAGCGCCCAAGTCCCGGCCGACGTGGCTCGTGAAATTGCTGATTTTGAAAAACTGTTTTCCTCATCTTGCGACGTAATTCATGCTTCCATCCTTGGAACGAGCCAGGGGCCCCAATGGTGCATCGTACCTGGCGCTCGCGAGTGGTCCGCAGGCAGCAGGTTGTGATTGCACTTCTCGAAGCTTCCAGCCATACTTTCGAGCCTGTGGCCAAGGACACATGTAGGTGCACAGCGTGCAACAAGCTGCTGCAACCCGCCGCTCGCCTGCTGTTCCGACCGGTTCGCTCGCTGTGTGCGGCCCTTTTTGCAAAGTCCGCCTCCCGCGCCTGAGCGTCCAAGGCGGGCTAGAGGGCGGCGAGCGGGGGGCTCGCAGGTCGTCAAAGCACCACTCGATGGTGACCTTTTTTTGTGCAGACCTGAGATGACCGACCCTCCTCGACGTGTGCCTGTCCCTGCCTACGTTCAGGAGGGAAACACAGAACACACGGACACAATTAATCGTCGATCCCCAGGACAATATGGGAAACTATGGGACGTGGGGGGGAAGACAAACATGCGGGGAATCCTGTTATTTGTGTGTGTGTGTGTGTGTTTATTTGTGTGTCCCAGGGCCCCCACCATACGTCCACGGGCACAGGGCGCATGACAGCCACGCTGCATGGAGCAAAGGCCGTTTCGCCTTCCTGTGGGCTGTGCGGATGCTGGGCGGAAGCTAAGCCTCGCGATTTGCGCATGGGGTGCCGAGTCGCCTCGAATGGCCTGGCGGCCCTCACGGCACACAATTGTGAGGCGTTGGGGAGGTCCAGGCAATGCACCCCCCCTGAAAAGAAGTGTCTTGATTGGGGGAGCACGGTCGATACGCCTACCGACTTGTAATTAACAGTTTACACTTGCTTGGCAATCTCTTCGGAAGCTTGACGGGCAGCGGTCCACAGCAAACAGTTTGCACGATTTGCAACCGTTTCACGTATTGAGGGCGGGCGGTTTTCAACATGTGGCTCTCGCCTTAGCGCCGCGCACATTAGTTTTTAACACACTGCAATCGTTTCACGGATTCAGGGCGGGCGATTTTCAACATGTGGCTCGTGCGTTTGCGTCGCACACATTCGTTTTGAAACATTGCTTTTGGCGAATTCCCATTATCAACGCACCACAAGTGGTGTTTTGGAAGGGCCCAATATTGTCAGGGTGCAACATTTAGGTTGATTCGCGGCGGTGTTGAAGTCTCAGGAATGGCTTCTGGCACGATTCAGGATTGCCCAGTCGCAATAGGCAGGTCGCTCGCGGTGTTGGAGTCCCAAGAATTGTGTTTTGGCATGCTTCGGGGTCTCCAAACGGGTGCCTCCCAACGAGGAAGTTCCCTCCAGGGAAATTAACCCTTGTAGGGGCCTATGAAGAGGGAATTTGAAGGGAGGGTTGATTCCAACATCGTTGATGAGTCTCTGGTTTGCACTGGTCCTTCTCGTCCTCCCCCTCCGCCTCCCACTCCTGCTCCTCTTCCCACGTCCTTTTCGTCCCGCAGCATGGTGAACGACGCCAACTTGTCCGTCGCCGCCATGCGGCAGTCGGTGGGTAACGTGGTGAACGACGTCCGGGAGCGCGGCGTGGGCGGGCGCCAGGGGTCGGAAGAAGGGGACGGAGGAGGAGGAGGAGGAGGACGAGGAGGAGGAGGAGGAGGAGGAGGAGGAGGAGGAGCAGGAGATGGAGGAGGAGGGAGGAGGAGGAGGAGGAGGAGGAGGATGGTTTGAGGGACAAGGACGGACGAGGTGGGAGGGGAGGAGAAGACATAGGAGAAGACGTGAAGATGAGGATTATGGCGTGTGAGAAGAAGGGGGGAGTGGGGAAGGGGGATGTGGAAGAGGGGCGAGGGACGAGGACGAGGAGTCAGAGGAGAAATGGGCGTTCCATGAAAGAGTTGGAGAAGGAGGAGGAGGAGGAGGAGGAGGTTTGAGCATCTATCCTAAACCCTACAGAAATCGCCCCCCCGACCCGTCCAATGGTGCCCGTCCAGGAGCACTTCAGGACCGCCTCTCAGACCATCGCGGCGCACAACGCCACCTTCATCACTGAGGCTCCCCCCCCGCCTCGGGGGGAGCGATCGCAGGTGTCCTCTTAGATGCCCCACCCCATCCCATTCTTCCC